GTATTTAAACGAATTGGAAACAAACGATATATTACACTCCGTGTGAGTATTTTTTATTTTATTTTATTTTTTTTCTTACTGTTTCCGTTTCCCATGTCGGAAAATAATTTCCTTTTCCGTTTTTTTTTTTTTTTGAATTCTTTTTTCCCCCATTTTTCTTTCCTCCAAGATATTCGATTCGGATTTTCTAGAATTTTCTTTCGTTTAATCCTTTTTTAATATTAATACGATAGATTTTTACGAAAAGCGGTGTAATTTATACTCAACCGGAAATGAAAATAACAAAAAAAAATGGCGGAAGTTGATGCGAAATAATTAAAAACGACTAAAATATTTTTTTTTTGTTTAAAAAAACTTAAATTTATTAATTTAATCCGTTTAATAAAAAAAAAATTTTTAATAATAAACACGCACGTTTGCCATTTCCGGATTTTCCCGCCATTTTTAAAAAAAGTTTTTTCTTTTACTTTCAAATAAATAATATTCGATTTCGTTTCCGTTTCCGTTTTTTGTTTTGTTGTTGTCACAAAAGAATGTTGTAGATATGATACGAAATCAAAGTTTGTATTATTATTATTATTATTATTATTTCGTTTTCTCGAATTTTGATAGAGAATTCACCGGAAATGATGAAAAATAACCGTGGTAACGATCATCATCATCATCATCATGTTCGTCTCATGTCACGACAAAAAAAAAAAAAATTCTTTCGAAATTTTTTTGAAACTTTCGAAACTGTCTGACGCTGACGTTGTCGTCGTTAAAAAAAGGTTAAAATTTGCCTTTTTACGTTCATTTAATTTAGCAGACGACGTAACGCGGCATAACATTTTCCTATCTAATCATTTTCCTTTTTTTCTACCTTTCGAAAATCACGTCACGTGACTCGTTTATTTAAATTTTTTAAAGAGGGTTGGAAAAAAATGTCGTTTGTATCAACCACCTCCCCTCCCCCCCACTTTTCATTATACCTCTATTTTTTTTCAATCAATCTGTGATTTTTCCTTTTTTACCCCTTCCCTCTCCTCCGCTCTATCAACCTTCGTCATTGTTATTAAAAAAAAAAAAAAAAAAAATTTCCATTTCGATTATACGCACTCTATTATTATCATTATCATTATTAAAATTAAAATTATTATTATTATTATTATTATTATTATTATTATTATTATTATTACTATTATTATTATTATTATTAATACGCGTTATGAATTTTAAATATATCAATTTTTTAAAAAAAGTTTTTTGGGTCGGAAATAAAATATTCCGTGTTCGGAAAAAAAAAAAAAAATAATAATAATAATAATAATAATCCGACTCTCATTTTCCTTCTTTTTCCTTCCTTTTTTTTTCTTCCTTTTTTCCTTTTTTCGGTTAAGTTCCATTGACGAAATGGAAAAAAATAAATTTTTTTTTTAAGTAGAGAAGAAAACGAACGGACCGATTGACCGATTTTTTAAAATCAATTTTCATTCGGAATTATCAATGATAATAATAATAATGATAGTGATAATAATAATAATAATAATAATAATAATCATAATAATAATAATATATCAAATTCGATATCGTATTCTTTCATTTCATTAACGGTTTTTTTTTTTTTTTTTGGAAAATTTTCTCTTCCATTTTTTTTTTTTCTTCGTTTGATTTATAAACAATGATGATAATGATAATGATGATGATGATGATGATGATGGCGATGGTTTTGATTTTAATTTGGTAATGATAATGAATAATGCAAAAGTCGGTATATTTCGGAACCTTCGAGAAATTATCACATACGAGTTTGAAAATTTGCCCCGAGAAAAAAATTTTCATTTCGAACCGCCATATTGTTTAACAAATTTTTTATTTACGATAATATTTTATTGTAAAAAAAAAAAAAAAATAAATAATAATTTTAAAATTTTTATTTTTCGAATAAAGTTTTAAAAAGTTTTTTTTTTTTTTTTTTTTATAAAAAAAAAAAATAAATAAATTATTTTGTCTGCTAAAAGAATGAAAGATTAATGACACGCAAAAAAAAATAAAAAATAAAAATTTTTAACGTGAACGTGGTTCTAGAAAAAGAAACCACTGACGTTTAATTTTCATTTTTAAATCGGTTTTCAGATTTACTGTAAAAACTTTTTCCGGTATGAAATATATGTCACCATCCATTTTTTTTTTATCCCCATCTCTCTCTCTTTTAAATTATTTTTTTATTATTTTTTTTAATCAGTCGAATCGGTCCGCCATTTTGATAAACGGGTACATATATATATATTCCCAAATGTGATTGATAAAAAAAAAAATGAACAACCGCAGACTCGTAAATAAAAAAAAGAAAGAAAGAAAAAAAAATGGGTCGCCATTTTTTTTTCTTGTATAATAAATTAAATTAAACTCGGCAACGATCAAAGTTATTAATTATTTATCGATTGATTACGTACGACGACTCGTCTTTTTTAATTAATAACAATAATAATAATAATAATAAATAAATAAATTTAAAAGAAAAAATTTTTTTTCGCAATTTCACGCATCGATGACGACGACGACGACAATTTGAATTTTTTTTTCTTAACGTTTCGTGAAAATAATAATAATAATAATAATAATAATTATTATTATTATTATTTTTTGAGATTTTATTATTCTCTCTCTCTCTCTGTCTTTGTCTATCTGTTCTTCTTTTCCCCCTTTTCATTGTCTATCAATTATTTTTTTCCCTCTTTCTTTCTCTTTCTTTCTTTCATTTCTGTCTACTTCATCTTTGTCTCTTACTTTCTACCCAGTATCTGTCCTAATTCTTTCTTTCTCTCTCTCTCTCTCGCTCCCCCTCTCTATCTTTCAATGTCCTCCTCTCTTTCTTTCTCTTTCTTCTTTCCCCTTTTTTCTCTATCCTTTCCAAACCCCATTTCTTCTTTTCTCTTTTATTCTATTCTCTCTCTTATTCAATTTCTTTCTTTTTTTTCTTTTTCTCTACCTCCTTCTCCTATACCTTCTTCTTTTTCTTTTTCCTTTTTTCTCTCTCTCTCTCCCTCCCATTTATATTTTTTAATATATCTCTTCTTTCTCTTTTTCCATTATTTTACAAGCGAGCTAATAAAAATCAACAAACGTATACTTTTTTTTTTCCTTTTCATTTCTTCTCCCCGCAGCAATTTGAAATTTCTTCTATCGAATGAATCCCTTCCACCCCCCACCCCTCCCTCAAAAAAAAAAAACATTTTCACATGATAAACGTCGTCCCGAAACGAAACATGCCCAAGGCCCAAATTTAATTACTAACAACAATAATAATAATAATTTCGTTGTGTAAATCTACGATTCCGGCTAAAACCTTTGGTTCAAAGTTCAAAGTTTAAAGTTTAAATATATAAATAGGCCGTCGCTTGTAAACGTTTGAATATGTTGTTATTATAAATTAATTTAATTTAATTAATAATAATTATTTACAACGTACGTAAAGTTTTTGAAAATTTAATTTTTTTTTTCGGTCCGTTTTAACAAAGATTCGAGTTCGTGACGTCAACATATTTTGCTAACAATAACGTTTCCGTTTCCGGTTCGTTCAATTTCCTTATTATCAATATATATATATTATTTATTATTAACGAAACTTCCGATATAAAATATATCCTTTTTTTTCTTCTGCTTGGAAAATAAATTAATAAATTATAATAAATAAAAAAAACAAAAAAAAAACAAATTTCACGGGAACATATTTTTAGTATTATTAACATGACTTCTTCTTTCCCGTGACGTAACTATCGTCGATTTTGTCCCTTTTTTTTTACGTACATAAATTCTTTCGTGTTATGTGTTGTGCACACGCACACGCACACGCACATATGCGTAATCCCTTGAAATTTATTTATCCTTTTTAACTTTTTTTTCTTCTTCTTCTTCTTCTACCCTTTTCTTTTCCATACATCATTTACATCTATCGTCCCTTTTTTTTTTATTTTTGTAATAACCTTTTATTTCGAAAAAACAGAAAGGGTGTGGGAGAGTGAGAGAGTGAGAGAGAGAGAGAGAGGGGGGGGGAGCTAATAAAAAAACCCGGAATTTGAATTTTTATATAAAGTTATTGAATCTTTTGATCTCTCGATGAAATTTTATTACATTTTTCAAGTGGGAAAAATTTATATATATCGTAATATTACGTAATAAATAAAAATATGGAGGGAAAAAAACGTAATAAAAAAAGGGACAAATTCAAATCAATCGATAATAATAAAAAATAAATTTAAACTTGGACATTTTTTCTTTTTTTTTTTCAAATATGGCGATCATGATTTCGACAATTTTTAAATAAACTCGCGAGTATTTTTTATACTCTAAAGCATTTTTTATAAATAAAATCTCGATTATGTTTAGTCGTAAAAAAAAAAAAAAAAAAACAAAAATGGCGGAAATTATTATAAAAACTCAAACGAGATTTTCACAAACCCGGTTGCGAATTAAAAAAAAAAATCCTTAAACATATTATTATTATTATTACAACGTACGAAAGAGAGAAATTTAAAATACGCTAAAACCTTTTTCGTCCTAATGGAATGAATGAATGAATGAATGAACGAACGAACGAATAAATGAATGAATGAATAGACGAACGAACGAAAGAATGAATGAATGAATGAACGAACGAAGGAACGAATCCGATTTTGTTCCCACCTTAATTTTACACCTTACTAACTTTCCTTCTTTTCCCTTTTTCGCTTGTTGTTTGTTCGTTTGTCTGTTTGTTCATATCAAAAAAATTGTTTATTTAAAAAATAAATAATAATAATAATAATTTTTTCCCTCAATATTTTCAGAGATTTGGAAAGCAATAACATAAAAAAACTTCACACAAACGGTTTTAAAATTCAATCGCAAGAATTGTAAGTTTATTTTTTTTTTTTTAGTTACGGTGCCATCTTTTTTTTTTGTTCATGCACCGCTTTGTCGAAAACAAACACGGGAACGAAAGAAAAATTATTATTATTATTATTTTTTTTTTTCGTCATATGTTTTACAGACTGTTGAGCTTTAATTCAATCGAGGAAATAGAACCGGAAGCTTTCAAAGAATCTCAAATTGCTAAAATAATATTAAAAGGAAATTTGAAACTTACCATATTACATTCAGACTCTTTTAAAAATCTTCAAAGCCTTCGGTATTTGTAAGTATCAAAAACTTTTACTTATTTTCTTTTGAAGCGTAACAAAAAAAACATGATGGCGTCGATGATTTCCAGGAACAATCTAAAAAAAAATAAATTTCATTATTATTATTATTATTATTATTATTATTATTATTATGTCCACTATTAAACACGACAAGGCTCTTATTTGTCGGGGTTTTTAAGTATTTATCCCAGGTTTCTACCCGATTCCTTAGGGACAAATACTCGAATTTCGGTGGTGCTACTTATAATATCTTCCGAAGAATGTGGGCCGTCCCACATATTATTATTATTATTATTATTATTATTATTATGGATTAATGACTTAGACAAACGAGTGAAAAAAAAATAAAATAAAAATTTAATTATTTACCTAAATTTTATTATTTTTTCCTCTTTAACTTCAAACGCGATTTACAAAAGTTTCGAAACATTATTGAAAATTGTTTCGAAACGTGCGTCTCGATCGCGAAAACACGTCTTGTGATGTAAAAATTTTTTTCTGAACGTTTACGACGAAAACGAATTTTTTAAAGAAAAACTGAAAAAAAAAAAAAAAGAAAAGAAAAAATTTTTAGATTAAAATAATTTTTTTATTTTTTTTTTGACCTTGATGATAATAATACTATATTCTTTCCGTTTCCGTTTTTACTACGAGAGATAAAATTTAAAATAATAATAATAATAATAATTTTTACAAATTAGTTTGTTTGTTTGGTAAAAGTGTAGTTTTTAAAAAACAGCAAATATGGCGGCGGCAGGTACCGCGAATCGTGACGTGTAAATTTTTATTATTTCGTCTAACTGAAAGAACATTTATGTATAAAATATTTTTTCATTATCATTTATTTTTTTAATTTAAATTCTAATTAAAAATTATATCATTCGAAATAAATTAAATTCGTGTTTTCACGCTTAATCAATTTTTTTTTTTCTTTTTTTAAATAAAATTTTTGAATCCTTTCCTTATTTATTTATTTATTTATTTTCTCCAGAGATTTATCATTAACATCGATAACCTATCTTCCAACGAATGGATTATCCGATTTGGAAATATTAAGATTACAAGATACGAAAACGCTCAAAGTTTTTCCGTCCGTGTATAATTTCGACGTAAGTTCTTTTTTTTTCTTTTATTTTTTTCACCGTTACTAAAATCACGTTTGATTTTGATGAGCGAGTGATGACGTAATAACCGGCATCCGCCAATGAAAACGCAAGTAATTAATAAAGTGTTTTACGATTGGTCGATTTGAATAACGGGTTCGTTTCATATCGGTTTCGAATTCCGTTGAAGATTTTAAAGGTGTTTAGAAAAAAACTAAAAAAACGGTTTTTAAAACGTACCTGGTTTTTAACGAACGGTTGTCGAAAGTGTTGAATGAATGAAATTTTTTTTGACTTTTACAGTACATAAAAGAAGCCGATCTCACTTATCCTTATCATTGCTGTGCGTTTCAGTTTCCGGATACGCATTCGCCAGAAGATTACAAACGACATCAGGTGACATTGAAGAAGTTGACAATTTGTTTAAATATCTGCAAATAAAAACGCATAAATTATTGTAATTATTTTTTCTAGGAGTTTTTACAGTCCGTTCAAAAAAAATGTTTGGAACAAAATGGTTTGAAAAAAAATAAACGACAGGTTTGGTCTTTCAACGGTTCGTCCATGACATTTTTACCAGGAAGTTGGGGAGGTTATTTTTACGATGATAATAAAACGGAATTTGGTTATATGAGAAACATGGCCGAAGAAGAATTTCACGAGGTGATTATTACTTGATTTAAATAATTTGATTAGAACGTTTGAAAAATTAATTTTTTTTTTTTTTTGGAAGGAAGCCACGGTTGTACCGTTGAATGCAGTCTGTGGAAATTTGAGTAAAAAGTATAGAAACGTCACCTGCAGACCCGCTCCTGATGCTTTCAATCCATGCGAAGACATCATGGGAAATTGGGCACTTCGAATACAAGTTTGGATAGTTGCACTTTTTTCCCTCGTTGGAAATTTGGCCGTACTCTTGGTTTTACTAAGTTCCAGATTTCGTATGACGGTACCCAAATTTCTCATGTGCAATTTAGCCATGGCGGATTTTTTAATGGGATTATATTTGCTTTTAATAGCCGTCATGGATGTTCGTTCAATCGGAGTTTATTTTAACTTTGCCATCGATTGGCAAAACGGTACGCCATGATTGATTTCTAAAAAAAAAAAAAAAAAAAAAAATTCGAAATAAATAAATTAAAAAAATATTTTATTTTAGGTTGGGGATGTCAAGTAGCTGGTTTTTTAACGGTTCTTTCGAGTGAACTTTCAATATTTACCTTAACCGTCATAACATGCGAACGATGGTACACGATCACATATGCCATTCATTTAAACAGAAGATTAAAATTAAAAACGGCGGCTCACATAATGGCAGGCGGTTGGATATATTCAATAATGATGGCTGCATTGCCATTGGCAGGAGTGAGCAGTTATTCAAAAACGAGGTTTATTTCCTTCCTTCGTCATTTAAAATTTACTTTTCTAAGATTTGGTAATGGCGTTTCATTATTTTTTACAGCATTTGCCTTCCTTTGGAAAATCGAGAAACCGGTGACATTGCATATTTAATAACTCTCCTAATATTTAACGGTCTTGCATTTTGGTTGATATGCACTTGCTATGGTAAAATGTATTGTTCCATAAAAAAAGGTCAAGATTTGGCAAGATCACATTCGGACATGACAGTGGCCAAAAGAATGGCTTTATTGGTGTTCACCGATTTCGCATGTTGGGCACCGATAACATTTTTCGGTTTAACTGCACTTTCCGGTTATCCATTAATAGATGTGTCAAAAACAAAAATATTATTGGTTTTTTTTTATCCTCTCAATTCTTGTGCCAATCCATATTTATATGCATTGCTTACTCAACAATATCAAAGAGACTTATTCATATTACTTAATAGATATGGTTTGTGTGCAGAAAGAGCAGCCAGATTCAAGGGACCTACAAGAATAAATCCTAAAAATAATGTTGGAAAAGTAGGATGTAAAAATGATAATAATTGCAAGGTAACACCACCTAATCACAGAGGTTCACTGTTGACAACTTTTACATCATTGGATAATACAAATAATATAAGGCCTTCTTATTTGGGTCCAGTTCTTGAATATCAATTGAATTCAATGGAACTTGTTCCATCGAATAAAGAATCAAAAGTACCTTGTTGTGCTCCTGAACAAGTAGACAGAATAAGTAATAGTTCATTATTATAACAATCGGTGTGATAAATATTTTGTTCACTTTTTAAATCCTTCAAACCGAATTACTTCTTGTGAATTGTACAATAGTGTGATGTTATAATTGAAAATTTTAAGTCTGTTTAACAAAAAAAAAAAATTTTTAATATTAAATGTACTTTTTATAATTAGAATAAAAAAAAAGATAAAAAATTTAAACAATAAGTAATAAATGTATCATTTTAAAATAAAATAATAAAAACTAAAAATCAAAAATTTTATATTTAATTACTTTTCTTACCAAAAAATTTCTTTCCAAGTTTATAATATTTAGTTTTGTTATCCATGGCTGCTGAATTTAATTTCTAACTAAAGTAATATATAAATTATAAATATAAATTATTGTAACATAAATTAACCCCAATATCTTGGTTTGCTTCTTATGTGTATTATACATAAAAGTCAATGGATACATAAATAATAATAATTTTTTTCGTAGGTTATTATATTTTAACGCGTAAAAGTTATAAAAAGAATGATAATTTTTTTTTAAATGGTGGAAATAAACAGAATAAACAAAACACATTGAAAAAAACAAAGTTAAAATTGCCAAAAAAAATTATATTACAAAAAATTAGAACTTAACCAACCGTCAACCGGTTTATTACTTACAAATTTCGACAACTTTCATTTGCAAAAATTTTTTGCCAATACATTATCTCCTGACACGACATCGCCAATATTCACTTAATAATTTTTTTTTTATTTTTGATTTTGAAAAGGTCGTTTAATAAAATGTCATTCATCTCTAGAGCTTTAAAACTTTCGGTAATTATTTTTATTTTAAATTTTGTTTTATTTTATTTAAAAACGCAATTATTAACGATAACAATTAATTTTTAGTAATAATTGTGGTGCCAATACAAAAAAAAAATTTCTTCTAATGATAATGAATGCTTTTGTAATTTATTATTAATATTACCTTTACTATTCCATGATTCATCTCATAATTTTTAATGTAAAATTTGAATATTGAATATTATCCTCACAAGTCATACTTTTACATGCTAAGTAAATAAAAAATATGTTATAGGCTAGTAAAGTTAATGGTGGTTTGACTTCAAAATATAAATTTATTCGATCAATTAATACAAATGGTCAGCAACTTATGGCACCCAGGGTACAAGATCCAGCTCCACATTTTGAAGGAACAGCAGTTTATAATATGGATTTTAAAGAAATCAAATTATCAGATTACAAGGGGAAATATGTAATCTTTTATTTTTATCCTTTAGATTTGTACGTTTCTGTTAATTTATTTATAACATTAGTAAAATTTCAAATTTAAATTTTTCTAATTTGAAAAAAAAAATTTTTTTATTTCAGCACTTTTGTATGCCCGACAGAAATAATTGCATTTAGTGAAAAATATGAAGAATTTCAAAAAATTAATGCTGATGTAATAGGTTGTTCGACAGATTCTCATTTTTCTCATCTTGCCTGGCAAAATGTTTCTAAAAAGGTCATTTTTTTTTTTTTTAAATTTATAAGATTTAAATATTAAGTAATATGTGATGCTAAATTTAATTTATAATCTTGTACAGGATGGTGGAATTGGATCAATTAAATATCCTCTTTTATCCGATTTCACAAAAACCATTGCAAAAAGTTACGGAGTGTTAATAGAATCATCGGGAATAGCTTTAAGAGGTTTATTTATAATTGATGATAAAGGAATTATTAGGCACACATCAGTTAATGATTTACCTGTGGGAAGATCAGTGGATGAAGTTTTAAGGCTTGTTAAAGCATTTCAATTTAACGATAAGCATGGTGAAGGTAAGTTATCAGTCAAAAATTATCATTTTAACTTATTAAAAGCATTTTTTAAAAAAATTTTTATTTTTTTTCATAATTAATAGTCTAAACAAATTAGATATATAATTTCATTTTTTATTATTAAACTGGAATAAATTAATTTTTTTTTTTCTTTCTGTTATTTTTAGTGTGTCCAGCTAATTGGCAACCAGATACAGATACAATTAAACCAACAGTTAAAGACTCGAAAGAATTCTTTGATAAAACTTATGAAAAATAGACAAATTGTTACATTCTAGGTCAATTACGATTTTAAATTAAGGCAGATATAACAACAACAAAAAAAAAAAAAAACAAACTTATTTCACATTTATGTTATAAGTTATATGAAAATTAAGTGTATTTGCCTAAATGTTTTATTATATTTACTATTCAAAAACATTGTGATAGCTTTTTAAAAAATTGATGTTAATGAAAATTATCAACAATTATTATCATTATTAGAAAAGTAAAATTATAAAATAGAAACGAATCAAGTTATTTTCATGTCATTCCCTAACATTTCCTTTCTTTTATTCAGTAATGTTTTATTTATGTTGGGGGAAAGATGAGGGGAAGAAATATACCGTGATGGTGCATTTTAAAATAACAATTTTTTTTTTTTTTTAAATGGCGACTTTTCCTCCAGTTGATATAATTATTTTTTTGTTATAAAAAAAGTCAGCCGGAAATTTTCAATGCATACGCAGAGAAATATGTCGCAACATGTTCAAACAGTTCAAAAAATTGCCAATTGGCCACTTCATCAGGAGCTGGCGTCCAGTACATAATTGTAGTTTAGTAAATTTTTTTATATTTTAAATTTGTAATCATGGTATCTGGAGAGAAAAGAAATTGTGAAGGAGGAAATTTGTTGGATAAGACTGTAGCCATATTACTTGATATTGAAGGGACCACTACACCCATTAGTTTTGTTAAGGTAAAATTTAATACATTGGCGTGCCTGATCGTGCTTGTGCTTTTCATTAAATTATCTTATTTAAAAATGATATTAATGTGTATTCTAAATTTAACTTGTATGCGTTTTCGCTCTTTGGTCAGTCACTTCAACACCCAATTATTTATTATCCTCTCTCACATTTTATTTAAAGATATATATAAAAATACATTTTCTTACCATTTTCTCATGTCGTTGCCCCCGGTGTCGGTGACTTTTAACAGAACAAAGCAAATTTAACATCATTTACATTTCAGCATTTATATTTTTAATTTTTATCACGAGTTTTACTTATGACTTTTCTTTACACTGTAAAAGAAAAAAAAAAAAAAATTAATTAATTATATGTAAGGTATTTCAACAAACGGCATCTTTTAATTTATGTAACCGTTGTAATGATATGGCAGTTTTTAATATAAGACAAAAAAAAAAAAAAAAGAAATTTTAGTTAATTTAGCATAATTATTTCATTCACAACATTATAAATGTTTTAGATATTTTCATTTCATTGAATTATTTAATAATAACAAGCATTTTTTAAACCTCAACATTAATTTATTTTAAAAAGAAACAATCGTTTGATTAATTCACTCAAATTTCATCTTCATCCCATTATAATGTTTTACTTTTTTAAATTATACTTTGTCATGGTTATTACAAATGAAATAAAATAACAGATTTTGGTAAATATAATTAATAAATATTTATTTATATATTTTTGTCAGGATGTACTTTTCCCTTATGTTCGTGAAAATTTAAAATCTTATGTCGATTCTCATTGGAACGATGAAGAATTTGCAGAAGATTTAAAAGCATTGAAACAACAGGTATTTACATTTGAATTTCTCACAATTTCAAACTAGAAAAATATTTTTATTTTTCATTCAATTTGTTTAACTTTAACTATGATAGGCTAAAAAAGATGAAGAAGATAAAGTTGAAAATTTATGTTTAATCGAAGATGGGGAAAAAGAAAAGGAAACACTTATTAAAAATGTACTTTGGCAAATGGATCTCGATAGGAAAACGACAGCATTAAAACAATTACAGGGTCACATTTGGAGAGAAGGTTATGAAAAAGGAAAATTAAAGGGAATGTAGGTTTATATTGATTTTAACCTCAGACATTCGAGTTTGATGATGATGTTAATAATAATAATTGTCATGATATTTCCTTGTTGATGTTCACAGCGTTTACAATGACGTTTCACAAATGTTAAAAAAATGGTGTGAAAACGATAAGAAATTATACATATATTCATCTGGGAGCGTTGAAGCTCAAAAACTATTGTTTAAAAATTCAGAATCTGGAGATCTTGAAACTTATTTAAATGGTCATTTCGATACTGAAATAGGACCCAAAACGGAAGCTTCCAGTTACGTAAGCATTGCCAAAGCCGTTGGACTTGACTGTAATCAAATCCTGTTTCTAACAGATTCCATAAAAGGTAATAATCATAATTTTTCAAATGTCTATTGAATCGAAAAGAGTGATAGTGAGTGTGTGTGTGTGTGTGAGAGAGAGAGAGAGAGAGAGAAGGCAAAAAACAGGGGTAGAAAGATAAATTTTTTTTTTTGTTTGGAACCTACAGAAGCTGTTGCTGCTGACAAAGCGGGTATGCAAGTCAACGTCGTCGTGAGAGAGGGTAACGTTCCACTCACGGACGATGAGAAAAAAGCATTCACGGTCGTGTCAAATTTCAATGACATCGTTTTCGAGAGTAGCAATAAGAAAAAGAAATTGTGCGAAACGGGACAGGAAACTGAAAAAGTAGAAAACGTGAGTTAAAAGTTAATTTTATGTTTAAATACAATCGATTCGATTTTTTTATCGAAACTCGACATTCTTATCGATACATTATTGTGATTCGATATATATATATATTTTTCTTATCTATTCTTTCAACGAATACATGTTTCCATACATATATTCAAACCTGTACACTTATTAATACATTTTTTTTTTTTTTTTTTTTTTTTTTTTTTTTATTTACTTCAGTAGATTGTGTGATGGATTTATTATTTTATTTTTTTTTTATTTTTGTGTTGTTTTAAAGGCGGGGGGGGGGGGTAAATTTTATTTTATTTTTATTATTTTATTCTGTTAGACATGATTAAAATGTAGATTTTTTTTCAATTTCGCAAAAGGAAAATTAATATTGAAAGTGCAATATTGTGTTTGTTTTCTCTCGACAATATGTGATTTGAGTTTAATAGTGAGAATACTACATGGGTTTGGTTTTTTATTTATTTACAACATGATTTAATTTGGTTAATTAATTAAGTGACAAATGAAATTTTTTTTTTTTTTTTGTAATGTACCTTACAGAAAAGAAAGTGAAGAAAAAAAGTTTTATTACGATTACTCGATAAATGATATGATATGTATTCTCATTTTTAAATTGTTTGGGTTGTTGTTGTTGTCGAAATAAGGAAAAGATATATAAAATTATTATTATTATTATTATTATTAATATTAATATATATATATATTTTACATGATTAGTATGTAATTTGTTTGGTGAGAGGGATTTAGTGTTTTATATATATATATATATATATAACTAAATATTGTAATATTTAGATTTAATTATGATTAAATGTAAATTGAATGTGTTTTTGTTGTTGTGTCGATTTCATTGAATAAATTAATAAACTTTTTTTTTTTTTTTTTTTTTTATTATTTCTTTTCTTTTTTTTTTTATTTGTTTTGTTTTAAAAATAAAAACAAAATTAAAATAAATTAATTAAATATTTAATTATTTATTTATTTATTTATTTATTTATTTATTATAGTTGATGAAACCTTTCTAAAAAATGCCTGCTCTTATAAAATCCTTTCTTAGTAGTAGTAGTAGTAGTGGTGGTGGTGGTGGTGGTTATGTGGTTTGATATTTTTTATTTATTTTATGTCTATTATTATTATTATTATTATTTGTTTACTAATATTTTTTTAATGATGATTTTTTAGGATGAAAATGATGAAAAAAAGACTGAAAAGGGGGAGGAAGTTGAAAAAATGGACGTGGAAGTGGAAAAAAAATCAGAGAACATAACAAACGGAGATGAAAATGAGAAAAAAAATGAAAAATCCGAGGAGAAGAATGATGATGATGATGATAAGAAGGTTGTGGAGACGGGAGAAAAAAAGGAAACGGAATCGTCGGGTGATGGTACGAAGGTGGAGAGTGATGAAGTTAAAACGGAAAAACAAATGAATGATGAAAAGGGAGAAACGAACGGGATAGTGGAAGATGGTGGAAAGGAAAAAGAGAAAGAAAAGGGAGGAGATGAAAAAAAAATTGATTCGGATGGTGTCGTGGATTCGACGAGCGAGGTAGGAGTCGGTGAAGAAAAGAAAAAAGGTGACGAAAATGACGGAGAAGTGAAAAAATCGTCGGATGAAAACGAAGCAGACGAAAAGAAAAACAACGTCACGAACGGAGGAGTCGAAAATAAGGAAAGTAAGACAAAAGATGGCGAAACGGACGGAAAGGAAGTGAACGGAAGCGAAGCGAACGGATCTCACGATAAGGAAAACGAAAAAGTCACGGAAGATTCCGTTACGGTGAAAAAAGTCGGGGCGCAAGAGGAAAAAGCGGATTCGACCGTCGACGTTTCCGCTTAAGTTTTTTGTTTGTATTTCCTCCCTCGCTCCCTACCCCCCTTCCTCCTCCCCATTTTTCCAATTTTATCAGTCTGGTACTTAAGAAAAGCCAAATCCGTAAAGAACGTGGTGTGGTGCGAACCCCTTTACATTGAAGAAGAGCGTGCGCACGCACACACACGTTCTCAGGTACACGAAAGTGCCAAATTCCTTTTTTAAAAAAAAATCCGTACCTGAATGAAACGTCATCAAGTTCCCCATACCGAAACATACAGTAGAAATCCTATCCTTTATTTTTTTTTTGTTTGTACACGAGACAGAACAAACGAATCCCATACGCACGTGCCTTAGCATATACATCTGAGGTTGGTTTTCGATT